GTGTTTACTTTGAGTTGTGAATTTCCATGGATTCTTTCTTGAAACCTGATTTGTTCAAGTTCTTTGTTGACTTGATGCGTGTCTTGTATGCATTTATTTGTTCGTTTGTACCCTGATTTGCATATATATTCTTCCCTTGTTTTCTTGAAACAGCTGAGGAAGAAGGTCGCAAAATCTGAACAGTTCAAATCAGTGCTCATAAAATGCGTAAAGGCAATGTATCTTGAAATTCAAAACCTCGGGAAAGGTAATTAACTGATCTTTCATCAAACTAAATATTCGCATGATGGGTGCTTTAAATTAAGCTTCTTGTGTTGGTCTTATGAACTTCTGGTTTAGATGGTAAAATCATATGTCCAGGTGCTTTTAAATAAGTTTTTTCTTTGATTGGTATTATGGAGTGCTGACTGAGTACTAAAACTTATATTGGGGTTATTTTTAATTCTTTTATTTTTCTTTGTTGGTCTTATGATTTTTCAGGTTAGATAGCAAAGTCATATGTTGGAATTCAGAAATAGAATATATAGAAAGGGAAGTTTATATATAGCCGAGGCTCTAAACAATCAAATTAGAGCATACCTCAAAATTTTCATTTGAAGAGGTTGATTTTGATGCCCAAATATCCTCCAATTGATCATCTAAAAATCAAGATGCATGGATATGAGAAAAAAATGGATCTCAAGTTTTAAAAATAGTATATTTTATAATGCATTTTTGGACTGTCAATTTTCAAGATTTTCAAGTTTTCATTGATCTGTCGATCTACACTATTTTGAAGCTTTAAACTTTATAAATAAAGATAAAAATTATTTTAAAGCTGTCACAAAGATTTCCAGTATTGAAACCACATTTTTCGACACCATTTGAAGGTAGGCTCTAATTTGATTGTTTAGAGCCTAGGCTCTATACAAACCGCACCCAGATAGAAATAGCAGATATAAAAGGCATAAAATACTAGATAGGCGTGAAATGCAGTTTGGCAGTGGAAATTTAAAACAATACAAAAGAGAATTTGTCAAGAACTTGATTATTTAATAGATAAATTTGAGGAAGACATGGATCGAATATATTTGGGCTTAAAACTGTCTTTCTAGCAAATCTTTGGCTATCTGAGGTCCAACTAATGATGGTTGAGAAGTGTTCTTCCTCTATTGAAAGTTCATCTTACACTTCTCAAACATCCATCCTACACTCCTTAACCAAACATTTATGACAGTGGGCAGCTGAGGAGCTGCAAATGTACTATTTTTTACCCAAAAGCGAGCATAGTATGTATACACACACACACAGGCTGGCTAACACTAAACACTAAAGAGTAATACAGGGCAAATCAAATAGCCACAAAAAAAGGGATGGTGAATCAGATGTTTTTGCTAGTCAAATAGAACCACTGGTCACTGATTTCTAATGGAAATGCTATTTGCACTTCTATTTTGCTATCCCACGCATGTCTTCAGCTGCTACCACTCAAAAGATGGTTTTGGAATCAAAATTTAGAAAAATGGCCAGTTTGTGAAAGTAACTGTACTTATATTGCCAGCATAACCAACCTATGACAACATGTAAAAGCATTATGAAGGGGGTAAAAGAACATGCTATACAAGTAAAAACAGCAATTACAAAATGGTTGCACATCTGGTTATTGGTTTATAGTGTTTTATTTTTCCATAAAGAATCCTTAAAAATAGGTAATAACAGAAATAACAGCTTTTAATTTAAGATAACAACAATTATTTTGAACCCATCACTTCTTTCTTTCCTTCATGAGACCCATGTCATTACCATCTGATTTAATAACAAGATATTGAGACACTTAGTATAATAAAGCAGTGTATGCATTGGTAAAAAGTATACAAGTCAGTGGGATTGAACCCATATTTCTCTTACATATTATTCTTCTTTCTTTCTTTCTTTTTTCTTTGTTTTTTTGGGGACAACAAATCAGCAGAATTGAACCTGTGGTTCTGTCTTTTTCTATCCACATTTCTGATTCTTGTCTTTTTGTTTGCATCGTTGCATATGCGGATCTCTCTCTGTTCTTCGTGTTTGCATTTGTGGCCGTCTCCAAAATCTAACTCTGATCTCCTTCACCTCGAGATCAAATAATGGACATTGGCCATTGCCATGTGTTTAATTGTTAAATTTCATCAGTGAAGTATGGATCACAAATTGCAACACGATAAATGGATACACAAAGTACATACACAGTCAGCTCGGATTTTGGTACCCAATTTAGGAATCTTGAGATCTCTCTCTCACTCTCTCTCTCTCTCTGTGGCTCAATTTTTGGATAAAGATGGACTTTTGAATTTTTTTCTACCCAAGTTAGAGAGAGAAATCATAGCTTTTTGCTCTTAAAAGAAGCCATATGTAATCTAGTTACCCCCTATCTCTCACTATTTTCACATCTCAATTCATCATCAGCCATCATAAAACTATCATCAACAGAAAGAGCTCGAATCCCGCTTCTAACCTCAATCCAACTACGGCCTGGATTCTTCACAACACCTCTCTCTCTCATTAGTTTCCTAACGGCCAAAGCTACATCCCATCTTCCTATTTCAGCATAAATGTTAGAGAGAAGAACATACGGCGCCGGATTATCTGGGTCCAAACAAAAGAGCTTCTCAGCTGACCTTTTGCCTACACTTATATTACCATATACCCTGCAAGCACTAAGCAAAATACCCCAAATTATAGGATCAGATGAATATGGGCATTGTAGGCCATTTATAAGGTTTTCTCCCTCTTCTAACCTACCTGCTCGTCCTAGACAGTCGACCACACAAGCGTAGTGATCAGCCATTGGAGTGATTTTATATTGAGATTCCATAGAATGCAAGATATTGAGACCCTCTTCGACCAGACCTCCATGGCTACAAGCTGTTAGAACTGCGATGAAGGTTATGTGATCTGGTTTTTTATCAGTTTTGATCATCTCTCTAAATATCTCTAAAGCCTTATCTGCACACCCATTCTGAGCAAATCCATTTATCATCTCGTTCCAGGAGACGATATTCTTCTTAGGCATGAGAGAGAAAGTATGGAAGGCCCCTTCGATGTTTCCACACTTTGAGTACATGTCTATAATTGCAGTGTTCACAAATATATCAGAGAGGAACCCAGCTTTGATTATCTGACCATGAAGCTGTCTGCCTTGAGCTATGGAAGCTAGAGTAGTACATGAACTTATCACACTAGCATAGCTGAACTGGGTAGGCATCATCCCTGCTCTCTGCATCTCCTTAAAGAGAGAGAAAGCCTTTGTGTTCAATGCATTAATGGCAAAGCCTGCAATCATGGAATTCCACCCGACAACATCTCTCTCCTCCATCCTATCAAAAACAAACTTTGCATGATCAATCTTTCCACATTTTGAGTACATATCTATCAGCCCACTCCCCACAAAAAGGTCACTGAAAACTATCATCTTGAGAGAGAAAGAGTGGACCTGTTTTCCACCATCAAGGAACCCAATTTCACCACAGGAGCTAAGCATAATAGTTAGGGTTGTCCGGTCAGGCCATGTATTCTCGAGCTGCATCTCTCTAAACAAATTGATTGCCTCCTCGTAGTTTTCTCTCTTAAAATACCCAGAGATTATAGTGTTCCATGAGCTCACGCTCGGGCTCTCCAACTTATCAAACATGGTGCGAGCAGTTTGTATGAGATTGGACTTCACACAGGCACCAAGCATGCTAGAATATGTGATCCCATCTGGTGCAAAGCCAAGCTCTTGCATCTCTCTTAGAAGCTCCATTGCTCTCTCCCCTAGAGAAAGAGAACCATAGCCTGCAATCATAACATTCCAAGAAACTACATTAAGCTCAGGCGATGACATGAAAACTGATTCAGCACTACCCATGTCCCCAAACTTGACATACATGTCAAGCAGAGAGTTCCCAAAAATCAAACTTGACTGAAACCCAGCTCTAATAGCAAGGGCATGTATCTGAGTACACTGTAAATAGCCCGAGAACCCCAAATCAAAACTACCACTTTCTTGCTCTAAACCACAAAGCCCAACATGGAAACTACCACTTTCTTGCTCTAAGCCCGAGAATCCAATTTCAAAACTACTGATTTCTCTCTCCAAACTCGTTAGATCCAAGCCTCCGGTCCATGACTTCACACATATGCCAAGAATACCTGATAAAGCAACCTCATCTATTTTAATTCCATGTCTAAGCATCTCTCTAAACATCATGAAAGCCTTCTCTAAGCTATCAGTTAGTGCGAGCCCTGACATTATGGCAGTGCAAGAGACCTCATTTGGTTCTTTCATCTCTCTAAACAATTGCAAAGCATAGGCCATAGAACCAGACTTAGCATACATAGAAACAAGAGCATTCTCTACGTATGTGTTAAGCTCAAGCCCATCTCTTACTATTCGGCCATGGACCTGAATTCCTTTGCACGAGTCCTGTAAATTACCACAAGCACTTAGAACACTAGCAAAAGTAAAATGGGTAGGCTTAATTCCCTCTATATTCATCTCAGAATACGTGTTTAAGGCCTTCTGATCAAACCCACTTCGAACCAAGCCACCAATTAAAGTATTCCATGAAACAGTGTTTTTCTGAGGCATCTTTAGAAATAGTTGGTTTGCTTCATCGATTTCACCAGATTTGCAGTAAGCCCCAACAATGGCATTCCATGAATAAATGTTTTTATGAGGCATTTTATCAAAGACTTTGTGAGCCACTGAAATTTGGTCCATTTTGGAGTAGAGTTCAATGAGTTTGTTGGATAGAAAGATATCAGAGGAAAGGCAGCACTTGAAAATTTGGGCATGAAGAGACTTTGCTGATGACAGTGGCTTCTTCTTGTCAATGAAAGCTTGCAAAAGAGAGGCGAAGTGGGTGGAAATTGGTGAGCATGTGTTGGCGATGGCATTGATACCCCTTGCCATGTCAAGAGAGCTCAAATTTCAGACATGAGTGTTATAGTGGTCATTTTACAAAAAAATTGGCCTCGCAGCACAGAGTGAGAGAGAGAGAGAGAGAGAGAGAGAGAGCGAGACTTTGAAATGAGAAAGAGAGGGAAATTTTGAAACGAGAGAGAGAGAGAGGGAGAGGACGGGGGACGGTTACAACGGTTACCAACTTGTGTTTTATGTTTAAAATCCTAAGGGAATGACCTTATGCTTCCGTTGGATCAAACTGTATGTTTGATCCCACGCCACAAACACCATGAAAATTGTCGCATGGGGTAGCCTTTCACTTGGCAAAATTGTGCGGGCATGAGCTATATATAGTTTAACCTTGATTAACTAAAAAGTCAGCCTTCCAAAAGTCCAGGGCCTCACTCCAATTTTAGTTTAAGAAAATATTTTAAAATTCAGTTATCCAAATTGGAATCGCTCGATTCAGATCGAATTTCATTAACAGTGATCTAGATCCCCCATATATAAAGATCCGGACATTCGACCCGCGATTCCTTTTTTTTTTTTTATTCGTGTTTTACTACTGTGAATCACCGAGTCTGCCCACCATGCAGGCACATGATATATGCGGTGGCCTCACCTCGTGCCAACTCTCGGCTTATGTTACAACATCTAAATCGTCCCTCCTCTACGCGACTTATTTGTTTTGCTGGGGCCAAAGTATATTATTTGTTTTGGGTTGTATTTTGGAGCCAATAAACTTTGGTGTAAATAACACAAGTTGGGGTATTAAAAAATAAATAAATAGCAATAGCTCATTGAACACCTTTAAACTTTGGGGTGGTAAATAACATAAGCTCATAGGATATTTGAAAAATAAAATAATAATAGCTCATTGAGCCGCTTTAGTTAATACGCCCATTTTAGAATTCGTTTTCAAATTGCTTTTTCTATATCCTTCATTGCAAGCATAAATTTATTTATTTTTTTTTCAATTTTATTAAAACATGATTATAAACTTACGTTTCTAAATTTTATATTTTTTTCAATACTAATTATTACACCTTCGATCTATTTAATTGGCAACAAATACTTTTTGCTTGCTAAATCTCATTAGAGTAGGCATTTTAGAGAGGCAGTTAAAGGTGAAAGCAAAGAAGAATGGGGTTGAAATGCCTGGTAAGGACATGCTTCTTTGTCTTTTGTCCCTGCTAATGACTAAAATATCTATATAAGGATAATGCTTTTCGGATTAAGATTTGAGATGAGGCTTTATTTTGTTCTCATAAAGCTTAGGGTATATAAAAACTTCATATAAAAACTCATGGAAAATTGCATATCTGGCGTCGAAAACATTCAAAATCCATCATATCAGCCTTCACTGTTATAATTATGAAAAAAAAAAGTATTTCAAACCTAAAAATTAGTGTAAATTATAATGCATTATCTAGATTGTCTATTTCTCCTAAAAATAAGCGTTCAGGATCTATAAAATTTATATATTTTTTTAACTTAAATTTCATACTCAGTGTTGAAAATTGATTTTAGAGTGATAAGGTGGATTTCCAAAAGCCTAAGAGGATTCACATGAAGCTTTGCATTGCTTTCCTAAAGCCTGAGTATTTATGTATTTTGATAGAGCTGCAGTATTATCAATACATTTTCCAATTTTTAAAGTTGGAAGCACCGTAGTATTACTGCCGCCTCTTTGTAATTGAAGGGTATTTCTGTCATATATAGAATACTTAGTGGCTTTCCGGTCATAATATATATTCACACATGCTCAAAGAGGAGTATGCCCTTACAGACACGGAGCAGGTCAAGGAAAATGGAGGTTGGTGGTTCAGACGGCGATGGAAGGGAGTACAAAAGCTTTCAGGAAATGTGGAGAGAGGAAATAGGAGAGGGCGAAGAAGCAAAGAAGAAAGAATGGTACCAAAAGGGTGTGCAATATTGGGAGGTAACCCATGTTCTCTCTCACTAGAAGCTAATCCTTTATTTTCTCTCTAGGACTTAGATGCTTTCTATCGCTGGAACTTTTCTGATCACTTCTCTCTGTAGAATTGAGATGCTTTCTGATAAAATCATGGAGGCCTCAGTTTGAAGATTGCCTTTCGTGGGCTTCTATCTTTTTTTTTTCTGTTTCTTTTTTTTCTTTTTCTCACTCTGCCATTCATATTATTCGTGAATTTGATGTGGGTTTTAGTGGTTTATCGTTTCTTTGTCCATTTCTTTACTCCTAAACTTCTATTAATGATTTATGCTATGTGGGTTTTAGTGAATTGTGGAATTTCGACTTTGACAAGTTCATGAGAAGTTCAGGAAGTGAAATTGGGAGCTAAAAGATGCATGGTCTTGATGGGTGTTTCTCTTTAATTCTGTGTCTAGAAGTTCTCATTGGGTTTTCAGCTAATAGATGGTCTCTTTGATTTGTTTCCCTTCCTTATTGTTCTCTTGCATGCACAATCTTGGTCTGTGCCATGTGGGTTTTGGTGTTTTTGTTGTATTTTGCTTCCTAAGAGGTTTCTTGATCGGTTTATGAGCTCGTGTAACCCCATGGGGTTTTCTGCTTATGATGGTTTCATTCTGTCACACATATTGCTAATTTCTGTCATGTGGATTTCATTTTCTTCCTTGTATTTTATTACTCGAATTTTCTTGATAAATTCATTAAACCTTAGGTAAGCTATTCTAGAGAGTTCCTTAATTTTTGGTTTCCACTCAAGTAGGATTTACCTCTTTATTTTTGTTTTCTGATCTTTTAAAGCAAATTTGTAATTCTGGTTTTCACCCAAGTAGGGTTTAGCTCTTTCTTTTTGTTTTCTGGTCTTTAAAAGAAAATTTGTAGTAAATGCCATGGATTCTTCTTTTCTCGCATGTCTTTTCTTTTTTCTTGTTCAAAGTGCATGGGATTTAGATACAGTTCAATTCATAATTTTTCTTGTGTTCTTCCATAATTTTGCACTCATACTTGAGAAAAGAAATATGTTAAGTACCTGAGATATCTTGTTTATATTTTTTAATGCTTTATTTTTTTTTCAGGGAATTGAGGCATCTATAGATGGTGTTTTGGGTGGGTATGGTCATGTCAATGACCGAGATGTCAAAGGTAGTGAGTCATTTCTTAGGGAGCTCTTGTCTGAACTTCGTCATGGAAAGACTAATCTTGTTGCCCTTGGTATGGCCAATTCCTTTCTTTGATTTCTAGTTCTCAGGTTCTTTAGCCCTCTCTTTTTGTTTGGCGTTTGATGGTTAATGCACCAATAGAGTGAGGTAGAAGATTATGCGCAGAAATGGAGATGTATACACATGGTGAGGCATGACAAAAATGATTTCAATTTGTCTTCTTCTGAATGCTTTTCTCATCATCATTCGAAAAGTTGTCTGAGTTACTCTATTCGCCCAAGTTACTTGCTCGGCCCGAGCCTGAGTTGTTCCGAGTTGGAGGTCCAACACGGGGATCTTAAAAAAATTCCAAAAAAATAAGAACTGCATTTGTAACATGTTTATTTATGTTTTCCCATCTTTTTTGGAAAATTTTGGAAATACCCCGTGTTACAAACTCATTTTTTAAAATCTATTTTCCACTACTCTTTGAACCACAATTAGTTGTGTTTTGTTAAACGTTACTTTGAATATATTTTTCCTATTTTTTGGAATTTTTTTATTTTTTATTTTTCTAGTAGTTTTCTGCTGTTTCAGTACTTGGCCCTACTCAGGCAAGTACTCTGCTGGTCATGAGCCGAGTAGTCAGCCCGAGTCGACTTGTACATTAAAAATCAGAGGTTCTTGAACATTTGTCAAGTAATGAGATTGCTTTGATCGATTTTCTTTTCTTGATATTGCTTTTATTATTACATTGTCTGGCAGGACATCTGTTTAGGTGCAAAAATTGTGAAGTTCACATTACAATACTTAATCAAACATTAGAACCCCTGTATGAGAGGACCCATCCCACATGTCTGCATTGCCTGAGAAACTTGATTGCTATTGAAATACTTATATCTGACTAGTATAATGTTTATGAGGGGCACTGATTGGTGAACTGATATTGGGCCAGATGTGATGTTCTTGTTTATGTGGTGGTTGGATGCATGGTCGACGTATAATTTAACATATGAGAAATGATTGTTCCTTTGTTTTATGTGAGGATAAAGCAAATCGTTATTCTACTGAGTTATGAATTTTTGGGCATGGGTTGCAGATTGTGGTTCTGGTGTAGGAAGGGTAACGAAGAATCTGCTTCAGAAATATTTCAACGAGGTAGAACATTTTTATCCTACCATTCGTTTGTTAGTGTTGTTATAGTGCTGTCACGCAAGATATTTAAATGAATCTGGCCCAGTCTTTGAATGCTAACGATGTGTGTGCTTTGCTCTTGATTTGCTTACCAACTGGTGCATGTGCTTAGATTATTGTTAACATATGTAATTCAAGTACATCTTTCACAATCATAGTGTTTGTATATTATAATAGATATATAAAATTAATATCACAAAATATTATATATAATATTAATATTATATATGTTATTGTATTGATATTCACATAACAAAATGGAAATGGCAAAAGTTGGCGCGGTGTCATCTGAAAGCTCAAGAGAGTTGACTAGTAATGGGTCAAAAACTCCTAAAAATAAAAAGAAAATTATATTATGTTATTACCTGTTTTTTTCCACCATCTCTAAATATAACCATCTAAAACCAACAAAAAACTACCCAAAAAAATGCACAATTATTGCCACTTTTCTCATTACAACTTCCATTCTGCCAAGAATTCGAAAAAATAGCTATTAATTCAAAAAAAGAATTATTAATTAAATAAATAGAAAAATAGCCAAGAGAACCCTAATTTATCAAAAAAATAGCTATTAATTCAAAATTTTGAAAACATAGCCAAGAAAACCCTGATCTATCAAAAAATAGCTATTAATTAAAAAAAAGAGCTATTAATTCAAAAATTCAAAAAAATAGCCAAGAATACCCTAATATATAAAAAAAATCTATTAATTCAAAAAAAAAATATCTGTTAATTCAAAAATTCAAAAAATAGCCAAAAAAACTCTAAATCTATCAAAAAATAGCTATTAATTCAAAAAATAGAGAAAAATAGCCAAGAAAACCCTAATCTATCAAAATCGAGCTTGAAATCTCTGGTTTTGATGAAATCGGGAGTGTAGTAGTGTGAATAAGTGTGTCATCTACAAAAGCCCCTCATTTTGATCGCAAGATCTGTAGATTAGCAAATTTTTCCCAAACTTATGAAGAACACACAAATAACGGCCAAGAAAACGTGAATTTCGGTGTGTTTTTTATCCCAAATCAATTGTTCTATTGAAGAAAATAAAAAATATCGGTCTATTATTGTCTGAAAAACCTGAAAAAAAAAACTTTAAAAAATATCTACAATTCGGGTAGAAGCTTACCTTGTTTTTTCCAACTCAAATGAACCCCGAAAGTATCAAAATCGAGCCCGAAATCTCTAGATTTCAATGAAATCTGGAGTGTAGTAGTCTGAATCAGTGTATCCTCCATAAAAGCCCCCTATTTTGATCGAGTAAAAATCAAAATCGACACCAAGATATATAGATTGGTGGATTTTTCCCAAACTTATGAAGAACACACAAATTACGGCCAAGAAACCGTGAACTTCGGTTGTTTTTCATGTCAAATCAAATGTTCTATATAATAAAATCAATAATTTAGTACAATTATTGTCTAAAACAGCCTGAAAAGGCTGAAAAAGTGAACAAAATTGAACCAAATCTTGATTCAATCCAACCCGTCGCTTCTGTCAAAAATAACGCTCCCTGTGTTAAATAACGGCGTACAGTTACATAACGGTTGTTATAATGCCTGTTATAATTCTGAAACCGTTTTCTTCTAATACCGGTCTGGTTTGGCTAAAAACAGGCCAGTTTGCAACAAAGTCAAGCGGTTCGGGCATATACTGGCCTGTTTTGTTTCCTTTCCTTGTCACTTCGCATTCCTATTTCTCTTTCTCTGGGCCTCTTCAAGAGTTTAGGCCATTTGGAATAGAAATTTTATACTTTCTTTCTGGGCTGAACTTATATATGTTTGCAGTGTATGATAATAGGTTTGATGTTATGGAAAAAATTTATTTAGAAGAGATTTTGCCATTCCAAAATTGTTTTAGTTTGTTTGAGACATTGAATCCTCCAATTTGGTTGTCTGTCTGTTGTTTTGTTGTTTATCTTTGTACCTTACTATGCTAATTCTCTTCAGGTTGATCTTGTTGAGCCAGTTTCACATTTTCTTGAGGCTGCTCGTGAAAGTCTGGCTCCAAATGAGCAAAATGGTTCAGATAAACACAAATCTTTTAACTTTTACTGTGTATCTCTCCAGGTATTTTGTTTGTTCTTTGAGAATATCTCTCCAGGTATTTTGTTTGCTCTTAGAGAATTATCCTACTTGCCATCATTTGGGTTATGGTTAAATCTCTTTTATGTGGCCATGTGTTTTTTTTTTCCTTAAGAAAGTTATGATTAATTTTCATGACAGGAATTCACCCCAGAAGTCGGAAGGTATGATGTGATTTGGATCCAATGGTGTATAGGCCAACTCGCGGATGATGACTTCATTGCATTCCTTGAGAGGGCAAAGGTGATTAAATTTTGAACCAAGATAGATTTGGTAATATTAATACATGTTGTCATAGCCGTTTACACATATGCACATAGTTATAGCGACATACACAAACATATCACACTTCTACACATGATCATCTGATGATTGTTTGCACAAGACTATCTACTTATTTTAATGTTTATGACTGAAACAGTGATTGCGTGGTTTGAGCAATCATTTATTTGGTTCTACGTATATGATTTTTTTCCAATTTGTGGTGCTAAATTTAATTTATCTGGTTTGAAATATGCTCATCAGTCAGGCCTCAAACCTGGTGGGTTCTTTGTCCTCAAGGAGAACATAGCAACAAACGGTTTGTACTCCTTTCTTTCTGCCCTAAAATCTTTGTTCGGTTTGGTTCTAGCAGTGCAAAGTGCAACTATGAGTCCAGTTGATTATGTCAAAAAAAAAGAAATGAAAAAGCAAACTCTCTTGCTCCCTCTTGCCACACATAAACATATCAAAGAACTATCAGGCAAGGTAGTAAAAGAAAGATTTAGACAGTGGGAAAAGGAAAATCGAGTGCATCAGGTGATGATGGAATTTTGTTGTTGCTAGGATTTGTGCTGGATAAGGAGGACAAAAGCATCACCAGGTCTGATTCATACTTCAAGGAGCTCTTCATCAAGTCAAGGCTCCATCTCTACAAGACAAGGGTATATAGTTGGCATCTTACCCCCCAACACACACGCACATAGCCATGTGTGTACACGTGTTTTTTTGGCCGTATGTAGTTGTTACAAATTAATGGATATAATGACCATTTATGAATGTTGAAGCACCCTTGATAAGAACTGTTGATTGGTTTTTCAGGAACAGAAAGGATTTCCCCAAGAATTGTTTGCAGTGAGAATGTATGCATTGATAACAGACGAACCAACGAGAACTCATCGAAAAAGGCCAAGAAACAGGCCTGCCATGATCATGTCTTGAAAAGCTTGTGATTTTTTGCTGTATTTTTTTTTCTCTAACGGTTCAATCAGTCCAATTACGTATTTGACCTACTTTTTACATTTTTCTTCTCGTGGTTGACTGATTGACAGAGTTATCTGTTGGGCATCAAGGATTCTGTTCCACTTTGATAATTCAAGTTCTCATGATTCAGAAAGAAAAGGGAATAATCCAAATTTCATGAACTCTCTCTCTCTCTCTGCCTTAGAGATTCAACTTTAAGTTTATGGGTGGAAATCCTTCGACTATGTATTGATGTTCATGGAAGAAGTGTTGGTTTGTCATTGAATCAAGCAGGCATTCTGTTTTGCTGGAAATGATTGGTTGAATTGTTGGTTACCTTTCTAACTAAATTGATAAATGGTGGTTTCTGCCCTAACCAATTGCGTAATTGTCACTAACACCTCTCTCTCACATCTCTGTAGGTGTGTCTGCTGAAAACAATTGTTGTAAGTTGTCGATCTTATTTGGCATGACACTCTGATGTATTGAATGGAAGATCAGGATTTGTATAGTCGACTTCAATTAGTTGGAAAAAGGTTCTAATGAAAATTGGGTTTAGTACATTATAAGTGTAAAATTTGCTTGTATCCTAATCCTCAATATAATTAAGTAGAATGTGGATTAGATTTTGGTGCTCCCTCTCTCTCTCTCTCTCTCGTGTGTAATCTGCATCAAGGATGTAAGAAGAATGTGGATTAGATTTTGGTGCTCCCTCTCTCTCTATAGTGTAATCTGCATTAAGGATGTAAGAGATCAGTAAAAGGAAAGGTTTTTATACTTCCTCTATGGCATGGAAGATCTATGCTTTTCTTATTATACGGCTGTCTGATTTTGATCAAGAGAGCTACTCAACGTTTGATCTTAGATTCGATGTCTTCAAGTATTTTATTGTTAGTGGTTTTTATACAAATTGTATGAATATGAAATTTTGTATGTGCCATCTTCTCATAGGGGCGCATCTAAAAAATATTAAAAATATAATTTTAATAAAATATAATGATCAAAATACCTCTTGAAACCTTGAAGGGTATTTTGATCATTTTATTTTATTAGAAATATTTGTTTTATATTTTTTCTTAGTGCAAGTTTAATAAAGGATTGGATAAGGGGAAGTATTTTAGTTTTATGTTGTAGGGGAGGCATAGAAAGCTTGCCCATCTGTAAATGGCCTCAATTTGAAAGTAGAAAAAAATTTATATAAGGTTGCAACCTTAAAAATGTGGTTTGAAAGACGGAAAAAGTTTATATAAGGTTGCAAACTTAAAATGTAGAATTAAAGATGTACCTCAAAAATCTATTGGAAAAAGTTGTTTTAATGTTGAAAAACTCTCTAATTGATCATCTCGATATAGAGATTGTATGAATATGAAAAAAAAAAAAAAAAAAATTCCAGTCTAAAAAGTTATCTACACCATTCATTTTCAATATTTTAACGCTCCTCTCTCTCTCTCTCTCTCATTTCCTCTTCAACATTTCTGTAGGTGAGTCTGCTGAAACAAATATTGTAAGTCGCCGATCTTATTTGGCACGACACTCTGATGAGCACATTTGTTATTAAATGGTGGATCAAAATTTGTGTAAACAACTTCAATTAATTAGAAAAAAGCTATGATCAGATTTAATATGTTACAAGTCTAAAACTTGCTAGTATCCTGAACCTCAAGGCAATTGGAATGTAGTTTAGATTTTGGTGCTTCCTCTCTCTCTCTCTCTAACGTAATAGGTATTAAGGATGTAAGAGATCAGTAAATGACCTCAGTTTGAAAGAAAAATTTTAAATAAAGTTGTAACCTTAAAATGTAGAATTAAAGACACCTCAAAAATCTATCAGAAAAGGTTGTTTTAATGTTAAAAAACCCTCAAATTGATCATCTCAACATTGAGATGTATGAATATGAAAAAAAAAAAAAAATTTAATTTCCAATCCCCATAATAGTGCATGTTGCAACACATTATCTACACCGTTCACCAAATTCAGATAATCTTAAGAATTTTTTACCCCAAAATTATATGTTATGTTATGATAAAATTTGGAGGTGTGCCTTAATTGGATTGTTTAAAGTTGCACCCTTATAGAAACCACATCCTTGAAAGAAAAGTGCACCAAAGAGATGAGGTACACACCTCTTATAATTTATTTTTGTAAATCTCATCAAAATATACATGATTTGGAATAGTTGAAATGAATAAAATGTTTTAAGGAAAAATATCAAATTAAAGGGTTGAAGCCATATAATCTTTCTTAAAGGGGCTAAAAAAATCATAAATTACATATGAGAATTTACTTTTAAATCCCTATTTCAATTAGTTATGTCCTTAAAAAAATTTAAAATTTTCTACATTATCCATGTTCGGTGAAGCTTGAACAATTAAGAACCTTGAACAATTGAGAACACTACGATAACTTCAAATAACATAAATGCACATTATTTTTCTTTATTTAAAATACTGAATAAGTTGTTCGAACAAAGTGGAAGTAGGTGTGTCATAGACGTGGTCAACAAACTCTTACACAAGTCTATCAGATTCTCTCCAAGGACAACCATACCATACTACACGTTTGTTTCAAAACAAGATACTCCTCTGACTACCCAATGTAAGTAATGAACAGCTGAGCAAACAATCTTTTATCCATCAAAGTCCAATCTATACCATCAAATTTTGACACACTTTGAGAGAAGAAACGGCACGCATCAACCGTCCGTTTCAGACAGCTGGAGGAGCTGCAACATGTTTCAAACAAACAGCTACTATAGAATATCATTCTTCATTCTGATATTGAAATTTGCTACATAATGTTCTATTGGATACAATTTTCAAATACTCATTCACTTAATTATATAATATTACAGTTTGAAATATGCTACATAATGTTGTATTTGGTACATAATTTTCAAATACCCATTCACTTAATTATTTAATATTACAGTTTAATTATTTAATAGTTTACTACTATAGTTGTACCCCATAATTATGTCTTGACCTGCAGAGTTTCTACACAATTGTAAGCGAAATTGTCCCTACCTGCAAAGCTTGACTTCATTTACACTTTCATGGGACTCAAGAGAGAGAGAGAGAGGGGGAGGGTCGGTCCTTGGTCAGTCAACTTCTGGATAGCCAGGAACTAGGACCATAACATCAATGGCGAGTACAATGCCCATAACGCAAGAGCAAATAACCAAACTGTTAATCACATGAAATTAAAAGGAAATTTCTAAGAATGGGATTATAAATATATGCAATCAGAAATCGATCTACACAACTTCCTCAAACCCAACAAGTCCCAAGGATCCACAACCAACAATCTACGGTTCCAGCCACCAAAAATTTAACAAACAAAACTGAAAACTTAACAAACCATGGCACCAGAGAGAGAGAAGACGGGTAGGGAGGGCGGACAAAGAGTACGTCATTGTGCCTCCAAGTTACCATACTGCCATGGATTGAACTCAATAGACTTGGGGTCAACTTCTAGGTCACAGCTTGAGCTATCAATGGCAGCTCGGTGCTCTGTGTACTTGCCATTGTACTCGTACACTTCTAACTCACCCCAAGGTGTTTGAGTAACCTCACCGGAAAGACTGAACCATCGCGGAACAAATTGGTGGCCTTTGGCCTCCCTGTTTCTCTTCTCAGCTCTCTGTCTCTCCTCCAAACTTCAATTGAAACACAACCAAAAATAAGAAACTAGCATAAAAATGTAATATATAGTAAAGCATATTGAACAAAAACTCCATAGAAACATCTCATTTAAAATAACTTTTCTAGGTACAAACAACGACCCTTTCCCTGTATGATAAGAATGCCAAATGAGCAACTTACAGATTCAGAATTAGAAGAAAGATTGTGAGGGCAATGTTACGATCAAATGACCAAGTGAGCAATACTCTAAAACAATGTTAAGGATACCTGCTTTTCTCTGAACCAGCTTTCATTAGATCACCCAATTCAAGAGCATATCTGTCTGGTCGTAATCGCGAATCTGAGGCTAGCAAATTCTTGGGTGCTGTGTTAAAGCTGTTAATTTTGTGAGCAAAATGTGTGTATTGGAATTTGTCATTTGCTGGAGCAAGAGCGACTCTCCACACCTGGAAAAGCCGGAAAAAAAATCCCAGATATACAATAACTCCAAACCTAAATATGTAAATGCATACATAGATGATGCACACATAAATAAATGACAGTGAAAGCCTTTATTGCTGTTTTGCCTAGATGAATTCATACAAATCCCAATGCATGACTCTGGCAAATTTCACAGAAGAAATGCTAACCCATTAATAACTTGCATTATTGGACTAGGGCCCAACTCACATTTGGTTCATGTACAAACCACTCATGAACCCCCTTTTTTTTTTGGAGAATGTTAAACGTTTGTATTGAGGAAAAGAAAGTGTTTCAAGTTGCCAAAAAATGGCTACCCACAGGCCAAGAGCTCTATATCCCGGCACCCGGGAGCTGTACACATATAACAAGCATCCCATGAAGTGGGAGCTCTATACAAAAACCACCAAAAGACGTACACTATGCGTGTAGACAAAAGAAGGCGTAAATATCAAAGAGATGTGGGTCTGGGCTAAGTTGGTGAGGGCTCTTTCTTTAGCTAGCCCAGAGGCCTCCACATTGCCCTCCCGACATGTATGCCTCCATGAGATGACTGTATGCCTGCAAAGCTGATGGATTCGTCAAAGATCTGTGCGAGAATCCAGGAGCAAGATGTCGAGCAAAGGCCCATGCAATAACATTCTTGGAGTCTCCCTCCAATATCAGAGATGGGCTCCAAACGGGATTGAATAGTTTGAGCCCTTGAAGCAGAGCATTGCCCTCGGCCAAATTGGAATCCATCTGTCTGATATGTTTGGAAAAGAGATAAGGATCTGGCCTTCATGGTTTTTGTTAGGACCCCCAGTGCCCGAGGGGCTTGGGTTGCTGAGAGAGAATCCATCGAAATTGAGTTTGAGTTAGCCAAGTTCAGGTGGCCTCAAAACTGCAGCACATGAGATGTGTGGTTGGAGAGAGCCAGTGGTTTAAAAAACGGATCGATGACCCGGATTGGGCACCTCAAAAACCCATCCGGATCAGTGAATCCGCGATCCGGATCGAGAATCGGCCGAATTGGTCAGATTAAACCTTAAAAAAATTTCGAAAAAATTATTAAAATTCATTAAAAATGTTGTTTTTTGGAATCCATAAAAATATTTAAGAATTTTTATTTTTTTGCATGATGCGAATATTGATATGTTCTTTCCCTGCATAAACTACTGTTTACCATTTAATTTATATCATACAAAAGGATAAGCATATAATTATCATGGATTAAGTATATCATCATACATGAACTACAATATAATATAGAATTCGTAACATACGACCTAAAAAAAAAATGACAGACGACGTCTTTCTTCATCTTGGTCACTCTGGTGCCATTGATTGAATTCGCGTGACAATTCATTGACTCGATCTAAAAACGAATCATCCAAATTAGTAGGCAACCAGACTATACCCAAATCCCTGAGTGTCAGTGTTTTGTTGTGCTCCTAATCCAAAATCCTCGAAACTTGTCCATCCTTCATGCTCACCTACACTATTGTGCTCGTTCCTACCCTCTTGTTGTTGGGACTCGATACGTGAATAATTTAGCTGGGATTGGGTGGCCTCATAATCATCATCTCTCTCATTTTCCCTTAGACCCCCCTCCCACTCTCCCTCATTAGGTGCAATATCACCGACATCTCCGACGAATTGTGGATATGTTGGCGGGCTGCTTCCTCTTTCATGCTGCTCATCACCTTCTTCAAGATCTTCCTCACTGAGAGCCTCAAGGAACGCTCTCTTATGCAACACTGGCTCCTCTTCCTCTACTACCCATTGTTCTGCTGTGTCTGTGACAAATATTGTGTCCAAGTCTATCGACCCGTAGTCTTCAAGCTTCCTTCTTATTTGTCGCTCTCGGAGGTTTAAGTTGTAATGAACGTAGACCAATTTATGAAGCCTCTACGAAGCGAGTCGATTCCTCCTACTAGTGTGCAACCATTGGATCGTACTCCAGTTCGCTCACACCCAGTAGCAGAACATGTCTGGGAGAGCACCTTGATTGCTATCCTCTTTAGGTGAGGTGCATCACTACCATGTATCTCCTACCATTCAACTGGATTAAAATACAAACAACATTGTAAAGGCACGAACAATTCATAAGATTAAATATATGAATGAACAAAATATTAATTAGGGGTTAACCTGGATCCATCTTAGTTCGAGAATTCTTGGCAAGTCTAGTTCCGAAAGATCTTATAGCATCCCTATACATAGCAAGCTAAAACAAAATATTTCGTTTTAGTACATTATTCCTCATAAATATAACAACTCAATGAAGTTCTTACCCAAACATTAAATATTACCTCTTGTATTGCTGCTACCTAGTTTCGATGCCTTCTCTCCAGCCTGGCAATAATATATCTGACCCCTTCCATAGTCTTTCGGGGATGTTCAGGTGTCAAATAGTCTTTCGAGACCAAAACCCCTTTGATGTTGTGTGTAGCAAACGGGGTCCATACTAGATGTTTCCTCTTATCCATCAACTTGCTGCCCGCAGAAACACATACACGCGCATTGTCCATAATAAACTGGACTACATGCTTATCTTCCACCTCCTCCACTATCTGATCATATAGTTGTACCAAGAAGTTTGCGTCATTCTTTATCCCTGATACGTCTTTACTAGACAAAAAGGCTGTACCTTTTGGTGAATAGGCCAAGAAGTTAAGAAACTCGTTTTTGCTAACTTTATTCAACCAACCATCACTCATGAGAGTAATGTCTGCTCTTGGCCAACTTTGTTTATATCCTTCAATCCACGTTCTAACTTCCTCCACCTCTTCATCCAAGATCGGCCCACTGAGCTCATATGCAGTCGGGGGCTTTACCCCGGGCCCGACTCTTTGGATTGCGTTGACCATAGATAGGAAATATGGGCTATTGGCTGCATCAAAGGGGATCCCTTCATCGTAGAACCATTTACTAACATCTGCCCAACATGTTCCTCGTATCTTTCACCATGCCTTTGAAGGTTGTCTGTTGTGACTTAGGCTTTGAGAGAAATGGGTCTATACGACCATGACCTGCAATACTGGCACTCCTAGATAAGCCAGGAACAATTTCTTCAATGTCTGATTCCTCTTTATACATATTGCCACCAACCCCTCCATACATATTCGAACTGGGCTCGCCATCATGCTCGAACTGGGCCCGCCAGGCATGCCTGAGCTAGGCCCACCATGCATGCCCATGTCATAACCACCAGGCATTCTAAACTCGTTTTCCCTCTGGTACGTTTCTTGTAAACTCATTCTTGTGACCATCTCCAAGTCATTATTATATTGCTCTTTTGGACCATTCCCACTCGATGGCGTATATAAACCAGCTATCTCCTCATCCATCCTCTGCTTTGCAATTTTTTTACCTTTGGTAGCCTTGAGAAAGGCCGCCATCTGCTTTCTTACATTATTAGGGACGCTATTGCACGCAGAAACATCTGCCAAGTGTCGTTTAAACCTATGTACCCCACTACTTATCACTTTTTGGCAGTAATTACAAATAATTGTCTTTTTTGTTGGATCAAGTCTGACCCCATGTTGCCATGCTGGGTCTTCCCTAGATCTTGCCATGGTTCAACTGTTTTAATATGTAAATGGTTAAAAATTAACCTGACAATTCAACATGAAAAATAATCACCAAGTGTAGCGATAATATTTAGGGTAGTTCATGAAGTTATCTTTGTTGTTAATACAAAATACTTCTACTGGAAAAAATACTTTAGCTCCTACTGGCAAAAATAATTTATTTATGCAACATTATAGATAAAAATAATCTATATCAGCCACTACATATAGAACAAAAAATTTACAATGATATAGTATCAATAAAAAATATATTTACAATGGTATAGTAATTCACAATGTCAGTACATATGGACTCGTCACAAATCTTCATTTTGACAAGCATGAATTAGTTCCTACTGGGAAAAAATATATATTTATGCAACATTATAAATAAAAAGAGTCCGTATAAGTCACACTTAGAATCAAGAAAAAGAATTACAATAATATAGTCATCCATAATGTCACTACACGTACATTTGGCACAAAAAATATTTACAATGATATAGTCATTCACAACGCCACAAATAATATTTACAATGATATAGTGGGCACAATCCCAACTCAATTAAAATGATCACAAATAGTCGTACATCTCAATTACAAAAATGCAAGATAACATAATAAAAAAGGCAAGCCCCAAACATGCCTACAACTCAATTGTCAAGAATACATATACAATTGATGTATCAACATACATTTTTTGGCATTAAAAATTTCATAATAAAATTGAAAAATGCAAGATAATAAAATTATCATACATGCCACAATTTTTTTACAATGATATTCATACAGTAAATACCAAGAATATAACACATGCCATAAATAATATTTACAATGATATAGTCATTCAAGATAATATAATGATAAAATATTTATCAATCATATACATACAGTTTATGCATTAAAATTAAAAAATAAATTTTTGCATTAAAAATTTAAGATGTATATTTTTGCATCAATAATCTATCAACACGCAATTTTTTGCACCACAAATTTAACAATAAAAATTAAAATTACAGTTTAATTCCTCATGATAATCAAAACCTGGTCGCGATTTTTACAATTTTTTAGAAAATCACAATTTTTCAAAAAAATAGATAATCAAAAAACAAATCAAAAAACGCAGCCACAACTCCTCTTCATCTGAAATCGAGCAATAAAAATTGCTTAATCAGACAAATTACACCCAAAATTAATTGAATTACAGTATTACCTTAAAAACCCTCTAAAATAATTCATAATAGTACTTTAATTCGTATCATATTTGTAGTTTGGCAGAAAAAAAAAAAACCTAACTGTTCTTCACAAAACCGTGACTCAAAATCGAAAATCCACTACAAATCTGCCAAAATCAACACAAAATATGTACAATTTCTGATGAATAACACAATCACAACTAATTTCCCTCTTATTTCATACAAAATAGTGATCTA